TCTATCTATCTATCTATCTATCTATCTATCTATCTATCTATCTATCTTGTTTTTTCTCTGTGTAGCCTTGGCTGTCCTAGAAGTCACTTTGTAGATCAGGCTGGTCTTGAACTTACTGTTGGCCTCTGCCTCCCTGAGTGCTGGGATTACAGGCATGGGCCACCGTGCCCAGATAGTTTGGAGGAGAGCCCACTCTTTTGTGTCCTTGTGTACATCACACCACAGGTATTTAATCTAGAGTGGAGAAAAGGGCAGAGTTCCCTAAATCTAGACTCTGGGCCCTTAACATTGTTTTTTTATTCTAGAACTCTGATCACAGCAGCTTCATTCTGACTTCTGGGCATGGGGAACCCCACTCCTGCTCCTCAGATACACCACTGAAAGCCTCAGTTTGATTTCTGTCCATTGGAACTAAAAATGTCCTGACTGTGGGTGACACGTGGGTATCAGAGAAGAGCTGTCTAGATTTAACAATGGGCCATGTTGCAGTAGAAGCTGAATTTTCTTTCCCTCTTCCTCCTTCCCACATCTGTGCCACTCTTCCACAAAACTCCAACAGTGTTTCATCACGCTTGCTTGGTGAGTCTCCAGAGCCTGTCAAGTGAGAAGGGCTGTGACTCAATTTACCTTTGTTTTGTTTTGCTTAGTTGATCCTCCAGTTCTCAGGATTGACTCTTGTGTTCAGATAATTTGGAATAAAAATTAAGTCAGATTTGGGAACTAAACCTTGAACACAAGGGGAGGCAGGGGGAGGAGAGTTGATTTCTCAGTGTGTGTATTCTCTGTGTTTCTGCTTCTCAGCCAGTTGCCATGTGATACAAAGCCTGTGGCATGTCAAGTAAGCATTGGCAGGCTCTCATACAAGCATGCACACACACAAGCACACAAGCGCATGCACACTCTTTTTTCACACACACACACATCATAAAATATGTGATCTCAGCCCTTTGGGGGTGTCCGGGTTTGGTTGATATTTGGTCCTCCAGGGGGCAGTGGGACTCAGAGAAGAGGGGACCATAAAGTTGGGGAGGGCATAAGGGAGGATTTGAGGAGGAAGAGCTTAGGTTGGTTCTTTAGGGAGAGTTGGGTTTTAGTGAGGGGACAGTGGAGAAGGAGTTGTGAAATGAGCAAGGTGTCCTCTCAGGGCTGTGTGTAGACAGTGGCAGGTGGAGGCAGGAGATCTGGCTGGTGAGGGGAGCAGACTCTGTCAGGGTGACTGAGATGCCCCTAGTGCATATCAGGAGGGAGAAAGGCAGGCATTTGCTCTCTTTTTCCACCTAGGCTGGTTCAAGAGGAGAGGCGCCCAGGCACACAGCAATGGAGTTTGGGAGTATTCTGGGTGTGAGCTCCTGTGTCAGTCTGCCATTCAATGTGATGGTACCTCAGGGGGTTTGTGCGCCCTTTTAGAGATGTGCAGTTGTAACACAAGTCAGACATTGAGGCTTCTCTCTTTCTCTCTCTCTCTTTTTGTTATTATTTTGCATTTGGATACAATTTCCTTCAGGCTAAAGGCTGACTCTAGGACTCTCCAGCCTTGACTCCCACCCTCCCCAGCTTTGCTGTTTCCTGTGGAGAACTAGGCAGGGAGAGAGGCAGGAAAGGGGGTGATGTCTCCTGCCAGCTTCCCTGAGCAGCTCCTGCTTGTAGACAAAGGGACCAGAGGTGACCTCTCTCTGGGTCTCTACCTCCTTTTATCTTCTAGCCTACTCTGTCAGACTTCCCACAGATTGTTCTTGGGGCAAAACCCAACCATCCCAAACTGTTGTCTATCTACAGAGCCATCTGTCCCTGAGGGGCCTCCTTGTCCACTGCATCTTGAATGTTCCTGGCAGCCCAGATGCCCGACTTGATGGCAGTGTCTATCCAGCCATGAGGTAGGTCGGTGTGCTCCCCAGCAAAGTAGATGTGGCCCTCTGGCTGGAAGAGCTCCTCGGAATAGTCCACATATTGGTAGGGTGTGAACTCAGCAAAAGCGCCAAGGGTGAGGGGGTCCAGGGACCATTGCTTGATCACTGATTCAGGGCACATGCGCTTTAGCTCTTCCTTGGATGCATTGTGCACTGCGGCCAGGTCATCCAGGATGATATCCACCACCTGGTCATCCTTCATGGAGGTAAAGAACAGGGAATCATCGCCCACAGTGTAAGAGGCCAGCAGCACGCCCTTGCCACCTGGCAGGCTGTGGCTGGGATAGTAGATGAAGCGGGAGGGCCGGTCCGTGATGGAGCTCCCACCCTGTATGCCCTCCTTTTCCCAGAAACGTTCGTTGCACACTAATGCCACCTTGGTGGCACTGGTGTAATGCAATGAGCGCAGGGCATGCGTTTTGTTTGGGGACAGGGCTGGCTGGAAGGTGATGAGGCGTGTGGCCTTGGCTGAGGCAGAGATGATGGCGTAGTCGGCAGTGATGTTTTGCAGTGAAGAGGTGGGCCCACCTGTGCGGTAGGAAACCTCAACCTTCGTTCCCTTTCTCACCACTCTTTCTACTTTGGACTCCAGATGGATGGTGCCTGGCTTCAGATTGGCACTGAGGCCATTGGGGAGTTGGTCAAAGCCACCGGTGATCTCTGTAAAATTTCGGGACCTGAGAGAGAAAGATGAGTGGAGACACTGCAAGCTCTGTGTGTCCCAGCCATACTTCTGGTCTGAGAAGGGAAGAACCTATCTCCTGACTCTTGTTTGGACACTTTATAAATATCACCTTCATGAATACACAGCCCCGTGTCAGCTGGGGATTGTTACCTGAGTGCACCCAACATGGTGAATACCCAACAAACCAGTGCTGGGGATTGGGTTCTTCCACCTTACTCATTGTCTATGCCGAAGATGCTAAAACTCCTCAGGGACTCCAGGAGGGACTTATAGAATCCGGCATCCTCATTCATCAAGTCCCCGATGAACTGGACTGCTCCTTTGCTTAGGTTTCCTTCCTTCATTAGGTAAGCCTGTGGGGCGAGGGCACCATAGATGCAAGTGTGGGTCATAGGGTATGGAATACAGGAAGGCTTTAGCAGGGACCTGGGCCCAGCAAGGGTAGATTTGGGTTTGACAGAGGCAAAGGCTTTTGCAGTAGGAAGAGAGCATCCTGGAGGTGGGACACTACCTGAGGGCTTTGGCTGAGCCTGGAGCCCAGAACTCTATTTCTGTCCTGGGGCCTCTTTTTTTTACTTACCTTGGTGGAGTAAGAGTCATAAAGGGATAGCAGTTCAGTGCAGTTGACTGTCTTTCTGGAATCTTCGATCTGCAGAAGGTGAGGAGAGATATTGACATCAAGCTGGGTCCCAGGTGGCCAGGACAGCTAGGCTGTTGGAGACAAGGTCACAGGGCAACACATGCCACACATGTGTGGCATGCTTTTAGATTGGAATCAGGTTCTTTGGATGTCCCTTGGAGAGGCTGTGAAAGGCCAGGAAAGGGTGGTTCACAGAGCTCTTGGATGTGCCTTCTTCCCTGAGTATGTTCCCTTCATTTGAAGAAACCCGTGCTTTTGTTGAGACAGGGTCTCACATAGCCTAGGTTGGCTTCCAACTCACTGTAGAGCTGAGGCTGCTCTTCAGTTCTAGATCCTCCTGCCTCTACCTCCCAAGTATTGGGACTAAAAGCATGTACTATGACACATGACTCGAAATGAAAGACCAGTTCAGGACAAAAATTGAAAGTGAAGGTTCATTTGATAGGATACTTGCTAGACAAGACTGAGGACTTGAGTTCTAACCCCAGCATCCATAGAAAAGTAGCATGTGTTAGGCCTAGAGAGATGTCTCAGTGATTAAGAACACTGGTTGCTCTTCTGGAGGACCTGGGTTCAATTCCCCGGACCCACATAGCACCTCAAAACTGTCTGTACCTCTAGTTCCAGGGGATCTGACACCCTCACACAGACACACATGCAGGCAAAACACCAAAAACCAGGGTGTGAGCTGAGGGGCAGCTATGGTGTACACCTTTAATCCCAGCACTCAAGAGGCAGAGGTAGGTGGGTATCTTTGAGTTTGAGACTAGCTTGGTCTACAAAGGAAAAGACAGAGCCAGGCATGATGGTGTATACCTGTAATCCCAGCACTCAGGAAGGAGAGACAGGCAGTTGTATGTGAGTTTGATGCCAGCCTGGTCTACAGTCCAAGACAGCCAAGGCTACAAAATGAAACCCTGTCTCTAAAAACAGACTAATAACAAAAAATAAAGAAAACAAACAAACAAAGGGAGATCCAGGACAGCTAAGGCTACACAGAGAATCTCTGTCTCCAAACAACAACAGCAACAAAGTGGGGTGTGCTGTCACAGGGCTATAATGCCAGCCTTGAGGATATAGAAGCAGTAGGATGCCTAGGGCTGGCTCACCAGCCAATTCAGGAGAATTAGCAAGCTCTAGGTTAGGTGAGAAACTGCCGAAAATAAAATAAAATAAAATAAAATAAAATAAAATAAAATAAAATAAAATAAAATAAAATAAAATAAAGTAGAAAGCAATCAGGGAAGACACCTGATGTGGACCACTGGCTTCTACAAAAATGTACATTTTGGATGCCTGATGCATTCCCAAGGATTGCCTACTCTAGTGGCCCTTTCTTTCCATTGCTTCTGTGCACATCATGGCTCCTGAATCGCTCAGAGATGTAAGGAGAGAGTTGAGGGTAGAGTTGAGGGTAGTTACATCCTTAATAGATGTTAGAATGTAGATGAACCAATCACGAGGGTAGTGGGTGGGAATCAGGTGATCTGAGTCCACATACTGATTTGCTGTTTGACCTTAGGCACTGCCCCATTTCCTTCTTGATCCCAGCTGGGAAAGTCAGCAGGTACCTTCCTGATGGATTGGTGGAAGAGTTGTGCGGCAGTTTTGTTCTTCTCTGTGGGACTCACGGTGTAGTTCAAGATATGCGGGTCATTAGCAACGCTCTTGGCGGTGTGACGCTGTCCATTGAGTAGGTACCAGGTATTGTGGTCATAGTGGTTGAACTTATTGAGCTTCAGGCCAAGCTTCTTGACATAGATATGTGTTAGGCTGGAATAGAGACAGACATAACCCTTGTTCCTGCTGGTCCCCTGTTAGAAAGGATTCCATGTGAAATCCATGTAACCTGGTGCCTAGGAACTCAGACTAATTTCTTGCTCAGTTGTAATCTCATTTAATGTTGTGGGCATTAGCTCCTCTACTCCCAAGGCTGAAGAGGGCAAGAAGTTCGTGGAACTAAGGGCCTTTATGAAATCCCAACTAGTAGTACTCAGTAGTACAGACAGATGTCCTTTGCTCCAGGCAGCATTTGAGATCCCATTACGCACTTGTGAAGTAACTTTGAGGCTGTGTTTATGATACCCGCTTAGGGCTGGTGCAGTTTTTTGTTTTTTTTGGTTTTTTTTGGTTGCTCAGAGATTAAGTATGGGTTCAGTTTCTATTAAAGGCAAAAGGAAAGAAACATCTGTGGGGATAAGGTCTAGGACAAAGCTCGGGCTGAACACATGATAGACACTGTTAATTAGAAGGTGTTATATTTTCTCATCTTATTTTGGTGCAACTGACAAATATGAAGCTGCCCACATTTACCCTACAGTTTGATGGGTTGGCAGTAATGACAGAAATTGTTGTTTTGGGATCTATCATTTCCTGTGTGACCCTCAGCTTCCTGGGACCTCTGGCATTCTCTCCAAAGTGTGGGATGAGTATCATCCCTGACTAATTGGGTTGGATCATATGACACAGCGATACTGAAAGAGAGGCACGATGGCATTGGGGTCCCTTCTGCCTTTTCAATATCCCCTGCCGCCATATTCCTTTTCTTGCACTGGACTTACCTGTGGCTTTCTGGGATTCGCATTGCTCCTAGTTCAATGTACCAGCCTTCCTCCTTGTTTCTGTATGTGAGCACCCGACCTCCAGTGTAGTTACTGGCCTCCAAGACGGTTACCTGGGGAGCAGAGAAGTTGCTATCATTCTTAGGGAGTAAAATCCTCACCCCATTTCTCACCCCCAAATAGCTATAGGCTCTGGCCTGGTCTCTCAGAATGTGCAGGATACCCTCAGTGGAGCTGTTTGCTCTGGAGGGTCCTGAGTGATTGGGGGGCCCTTGCTTGGTAGCATAGGTCATCACTCTGGCCGCCACAAGAACATGAATGGTGGTTATAATGATGAGGGCTCAGGGTGTTTGGAGACTGATCTACACGCCACTGTGCACCTCTCCCTGTCAGGCCACTCTTTCTTTTTCCACCCAAGGAGGCAAATCGAAGGCTGATGATCAGGATTTCTCTAAACCGTCTTACCTCGTGACCAGCATCCTGCAGCAGCTTAGCTGCCACTAGGCCTGCCATTCCAGCCCCTACCACCACCACACACTTGGGATGTTCGGAGGCCTTGAGCCCATTCTGGGCTATGTCAATGAGGGTGTCATAATCGGGGTCCTGGAAACACTTGGCAATCTCCTCAGAGAAGGCAAGGCAGCTGGAGATGAACAGCAAGATCCCCCAAATAAGGATTTCTGGAAGCAGAGAGAGCAAGGGGCGGTCTTTCTGGAGTCCAGCCTCTGGGATCTATGTACTCAGAATGAGCTGGGCTGTGGGAGCCAGGCGGGCAGCCGGATGAGGACATTGTCAGACAAGTGTGAGGTTGTAGATATGAATGTTTGCTCTTATGTCTGTATGAAGGTGATTGTGTTGCACATTGTGTATTATATTGTGGACTGTAGTGTTATTTTTGTGATTAATGTGTGATTGTGAACATGGCTTGCACCCTACAAGCTCGTGGGTGTGGGAAGTTTGTAGGTGACTACACTCGTCTGCTCCTGATGGAGAGTGTGTATGCACGCTCACTTATGAGTTGTAAAGGACCGTGGCTGTGCACACCTGTCAGTTTGTGGATGGAGTGTGGTCATAGTTTGTGTTTGCATGATATGACTGCATAGTTCGTGACTGTGTGAGGGACGCATCTGTGACCAGTGTGGATGCCTGGCTGAGGATGCGTCTGTATGGGAAGTTGAGGTGGACTGTGAGGTGTGAGCTGGGCTGGATTTGAGGGCGAGAGGAATGAGATGTGTTCCTCTGCTTGAGTCTGAGGAAGAATGTGGGGGCTTGTATGGGTTCTGTGAGAGTATCTGGGAAGCAGAGCTGTGTGGGGAAGAGAGTGAGAGAGCAAGTGGGAGGGGGAGGGAGAAAGCGTATAGTTGTGGAAAGGTGAGAGTGTGTTCCTTTTTTTCAGCCTTATCTATGGTTTCTCAGAGCTTCCTTAGTAAGTCTGATATTAAGATTAGAACTCACCACTCAGACAGCCAATGACTACCATCTAACCAATCTTAAATGACTTGATTATTTTTCAGAGCTGGTCTTGTCTGACAGGAAGAGCTGTGTGGTTTCCTTGGTGTCACCTGCTCTTAGGTGGACCACACAAGGACTGTATCCCCCGATCTCCTTCCAGAAGCTGAGTCTTTGGCTGGTGGGAGTCCCCTTAGTTTGGTCTGGTAATGTCCAGGCAACTGAAGCTCCTCAAAGGAAGAGGGCTTTAGGGGCCTCTGGCTGAGGAGGCACATTAGACCCTTTCCAATGGCAAGATAGCATTCCACTGGGGCAACTCAGTAGAAAGGGGGGGCATTACCAAGCCCAAGGGAGAGTATCTCTAAGTCTCAGTCTCTCTCCCCTTCTTCCAGATCTGCCTCAACCCTCTTATCCAGTTTCCCCTGAGCTAGCAGCATTTGTTTCTTGGCCCCTGTGTCCTTTCTCTCAAACGATCCAACCCCAGACCCATCCTCCAAGTCCATCTTCATCAAATTCATTTTCAACATCCTGACCCAACACTGTATAAAAAAAATAAATCTTTAAATCCCAGGCCTTGGTCAAGCTGAATCCCTATCTCAATTCTTATTCTCTTTACTCTTATATGGTGCTCAGCTGACATCCACAGACCCACGCCCACCTCCTCGACCCGTGTCCCTCCCCCATCCAGCACCTATACCTATTTCAGTATCTAACTCTTTCTTGCTCAGTTTCCTCCAAACTGTGAGCAGGACCCCACTTACCACTCTTCTTGGCCATGGCCCTAAACCTCATGTGGAACTACGAGCCGCTCAACTTCTCTTTATAAAGCAGCAGCACCTCCTTGGTAATAGTTGGCCCTTATCCCACCAGTGCGCCTCTGGCCCTATTGACTCAGCCAAGCAGGGCAGCCCTGCCTTAAGAGCTGACCCATGAGGAGAGATGACAGTGATAACTGACCCCACCTTCTTCTCATCCTCTTCATTGCTCCTCCCAACACCCCCAACTGCCTCTTCCTCTAGAAAAGCCTCTTCTCCCACTCCAGTCCTCCTGGTGCTAAGGAGCAGGTAGGCCGTTCTAGACTTGCTGTGATGGCCCTGGGAAGGAATGAGAGCTGGATTGGGCTTCCAGTCTCTGAACTTCTAGAACAAGCCAGAATTCCTTACAGCCCCAGTACATTCTGTGTTGCCTGCTCTCTGACCGCTGTTGGTGAAGGCCCTTGGCTCTGATGTCTGTTTGGGATGGGGATCTGCCCAGGAGCTCCTGTACAGGGTTCATGCTCTCTCTGTCCCTCCTCCTCTTAGGCTCCCAGGCAGGCAGGCAGGTAGGTGCCGTCTCCAGCCTGGCCCATCTGCAGAGGCCCATTTTCTGCTCCTTCCTCTGGGACCTCAGGGCTTCCTTAGACACAGTGTACTTCCCTGGCAATGGACTTTCTTCCTATAAGGAATGGAGCCAGGTAGCTGTTCTGCCAAGATGAGCTTTGGTTTACAGGCTGACTGGCAAGAGAAATGAACAGAAAGTCTGTACCCAACCAGCAGGACGAGGCGGGGGTGGGGGTGGGGGAAGGAAGGAGCACATGGTATCCATGGCCTATAACTGGGATTCTGGCATCAGGTGGTGTAGGGAAAGGGTAGTAGCAACAGAATCAACAGAGCTGGGTTCAAGTCCTGATTTCTCCTAGGAAGTTGTGTGTTTTGGGATGTGGAATTGATCCCCTTCTGAACTTGGGCCTTCTTTCTTTCTTTCTCTTGTTTTTTGGAGGATAAATTTATTAGAAGGAAGAACTGAGAATAGAAACAGTATCACTCCCTTCTCCTTTCCCCTTAGACTTAGAGTATACATCCCAGGACTTCTGTTAGATAGCTGAAAAGCAGATAGTACCACATTCTATTTAAATATGTCTTTTCTTACTCATACATAACTATAATGAAGTTTAATTTATAGATCAGGCACAGTAAGAAATAAACAACAACAAAAGTGAAACAGAACAATTATAACACTATGCTATGATAAAATTGCTGCATTACAAGCCTTTATGCTATGTTAGAAATGTAGGGAAAGCTGTTGTGGGAAACTGTAAGCAAGCCTCCAACTCAATGCTTTCTTTAAGAAGAGTTGCCTTGATCATACAAAGCAACGGAACTCTTTAGAGCAATAGAACAATAACTAAGACAAGTGGTTATTTCCAGAATTTTCCATTTATAAATTTCAGGCCATATTAATCATGAATATCTAATTATTCAGAAAGCAAAGGCACAGAGAAGAGGATATACTACATTAGAAAGGCTGGGAAAGCTGTTGTGGGAATTAAGGGATTTTTAGCATTCCTGAATGTGGCTTTATACTCTCAAAGGACCTGAGCAATGAGACCCTCAAATTATTTTTAATTTATTTTAAAAAAATGTATTTATCATTCTTTCATATATTATATCCTGAACACACTTTTCCCTCCCTCTTCTCCTCCCAGTCTCTTCTCTCCCAGATCCACTCCTCCTTTGTTTCCCTTCAGAAAAGAGCAGGGCTCCCAGAAATATATCAACAAGACATAACAAGTTATGATATCCATTCGGGAGAAAAGGGTCCCAAAAACAGGTAAAAGAGTCAGAGGCAGCCCCCACTGCCACTGTTGGGTGTCCCAGCAGAACACCAAAAGACACAACCATGACATATATGCAGAGGACCTAGCTCAGACCCATACAGGTTCCCTAATTGTTGCTTCAGACTCTGTGAAGCCCTATGAGCCCTGCTTAGCTGATTTATGGTGTCCTTGATCCCTGTGGCTTCTAAACTCCTTCCTCCCTGTCTTCTGAGGAATTCAAGCTTGGTTGTTTCTCTTAAATTCTTATTTATTTATTTATCTATTTATTTATTTATTTATTTATTGAGACACAGATCAATAACACCTTCTTCCTAGGAGTTTGATTTCCTTTTTCTTTTTCTGTAGAAGTGTCTTGCTGTATAGGTCAGGATGACCTTGAACTCCAAATCCTCCTGCCTTAGCTTACTGGTTGCCTGGATTACATCACCATGTGCTTCATACCGTGTCAAGGCTGATCTGAGATGGTGCATATATCTAGCTGTTTTCTTTAGGTTTGACATGATCATCACCATCTTGAAGCAGAACAGGTATGGTGATTTGGAAAGACCTTGGCCACAGGCAAGGCAATAGAATAATCAGAACAATGCTAAGTCTAGGATAATGTAGTTCTCTTATTATAACCATCACACTGTCATTCTCCTATTGTAACCATTACATAGTCATTAGCTAGGTCTACGATAAAGAGCAGATTGCACAAGGAAGCAGCCCAAGTGAGCTGCTGCTACTTTCCCCTCCACTTATGGCCCAAACGTACATCTCCCTGGTGAGTTTGCTATGATTGACTGAAGAGCACCAGATGCTAGCTGGTTACAGATGGTTCTATGCCTGCACTACTTGAACGCTGATAGCTGGAACACACGTCTCCTTCTGGAACATGCCTGAGGACAATGGTGAAGAGAAACCCTCCAGGGGACAGGACAATGAGCAGGGTGTTCATTTGCTCCTTTGGTTTAGGAGAAGTCTATATTGACCAATGAAGAGTGGCCACAGGTTGGTTGGATGTGTGGCTAGATGGTCAGGGATTTGGATGGAACTCGTTTAGATAATTTGTGAGGATGAATATGGGGAGAGATCTGTGGATAACTGCCCTTGAACTGGAAAATGTAAAAAATATATGAATACTCACATGAATGCTTGTAATTGGATAATTGTTTTTGGGCAGACAGACAGACCTTGCTTCAGGCTCTTAGAGAGCAAAGTGCCAGGGATACCCAGTGGTGATGAATGGGGTACAGAGCTGAGAGGCAAGACATCGAGGTTCTGGACTGACACTTTAACACACCTGGTTACAGAGACTATCTCTTTTGCAGGAGGGCCTTCAGTTTTGAGGAGTAGGGATGTACTAACCTTGAAGCTATTTGCTAACCCAGAGAGAAGCAAAGTGACCAAACTCAGTACTGGTGTCTTCTTCATGCTTTGTCCATGGTAAGTGATAGTGCTGTTGTCACCGTCATCTTCATCACATTGATGTGAAAGACGGGGAGTGTAGCTACTCTCTCCTACGCCTCCCGTGAGGAACTGGGGACAAAACACGTGCCAAAGTGCTTTGTAAGTTGTGACTTTGCGTGATGTCCCCAGGGACCATTTTAGTGCTCTCAAACTCTAGGATCCACACCACTTCCTAAGATCTCTTCAGCTTCTCCTCCAGACACTAACTCAGAACACTTTCTGAAGTTTACAGCTTACCAAAATGAGCTGACTCTCACGTGGCCCCTCAATGAGGCATTGTCAGCTTGGGCCAAGTAGGGAGTTCCTGGTTGTTAGGACTGTATTTCAATTCCAGCTTCACCTTTCTCAAGGCTCAGCACCTCCCTGGAGTCTGGTGGCTCACCTTATTTTTTTAATTAATTAATTTATTTTATGAATGCTCTGTTTTCATGCACACCAGAAGAGGGAATCACATTTCATTACAGATGGCTGTGAGCCACCATATGGTTGCTGGGACTAGAACTCAGGACCTCTGGAAGAGCCATCAGTGCTCTTAACCACTGAGCCACCTCTCCAGCCTCTGGGCTCACCGTATTGAGGAAGAAATCTCTTGAGTTTCCCTTATTTCTCAAGCTGACCTCTGGCGGCCCTTTACCCATGGTAGAGTGGTACTAACTCCCAGCAGCCAGAGACATTTTGATCAGAGCTCATGTACGGCCATTACCATAAACCTAACTGAGGACACTATGGACTTTGCTGATTCACTCTTGGAGGCAAGTGGCCAGGTTTTCATGTTGACTTTTCCACTATCTAGTTGCACACTCTTTGCCAGGTCCCTCCTATCTTCTGGATTCATTTGTCTGAAAAACAGGCAGGTGGGACCACACTTGACTCTTTGTTAAGTATTTCTGATATTGAAAAATCAAGGTGGCTTAACATGTCATCCTGACTACCCCTGTAGATTGATTCTTTCCTGAGGCAAGTGACCCCATCTCTCTGAACCTCCATTTCCTCATTCTTCTAAGGAGAGGTGCATGCTGTTCTGCATCGGACTTTCTCTTAAGAGCTGAAGTGAGGTGAAGGCAGGCATGCTCTCTGAGTTTGAGGGCAGCTGCTCTATGTCATGAGTTGCATGCAACAGAGTGAGGCTCTTGTTTCAAAACAAAAATGCTAATGAGAGTCAGTGACATGGGAAGACCTAGGTTAGCACTGGAAAGGATTCTCGGCTGCCTGGCTCCCTTTTTTCTTTCCTTCAGTCCTTTCTTCCTTCCTTCCTTTTTTTCTCCCCCTTTCTTCTCCTTCATCTTCTCCCTCTGTTCCTTTCTTTCTTGCAATTTGAATTATTCCCAAATTTTGTAGTATAAGTAAACCTATCATGGCCAAAGTCAAGGCAGTATCATTCTATCACTGAATGTGTTTATGTTTTGACTCATTACCAAACAAACCTGGTTGACTAACTAACCACCTGTCAACATACACACACAGACACACACACACACACACACAGAGAGAGAGAGAGAGAGAGAGAGAGAGAGAGAGAGAGATTGAATAAAATGTATTCAAATAATTGGCATGCAAAGAGTTTTGAGCATTTAGCATCACCAAGTTTTTAATTAATCAATATTAATTAACTCTTTTTTGGGGTGGGGGCCGGGTCTCACTCTGCATCCTTGGCTGACCTGGAACTCACCTTATAGACCAGGCTGACCTGGAACTCATAGTGATCCTCCTGCCTGTCTGCCTCCTGGGTGCTGGGATGTTTGAGGGTTTTCTTTTTTTTTTTTTAATTGTTATTTATTTTTTGTTTGTTTGTT